CTGATGCTGCCAGACCTGCTGAGCTTTTCCAGCAACTTTGTTTTTGTTCCTGATTTACAGCAGCCGCAGTTCTTTTGGTTTTTATATTTATTCTGTACTTGATTCTGTTCTTTACCGTCTGTGTGCGTGTATATGTAAAACTAATATTAGATCAATTTTAAAATGTTTTCATGGCATTAGAGATGTCCACTTAACTGCTGAATTGACAGAGGCATAAGACAAACAATGAGTTTTCATTGCTATGTTCCTCCAGTGACCCGATATAGTCTTAGTGCTGCACAAGTGGGACAACTCCTGATAACATAGAAAACATTGTAGAAGGACAGTCTATGCCCGATTGAATTCATACTGTCGTTAGATATTGATATTGTTCTAGAATTGCACGTTCATTGGTCAGCATCATTTTCCCATTTAAATTTAGTGATATGCGTGGTTTTTACTCAGAATAGGTAACATTAGACTGATTGAGAATCCGCAATAACATTGAACAGTATGCTGATGCAGGGTTCCTTATAGGGCATTTAAAAAAAACAACGGTGGGTACGGATCTCAGAAAGGAGTGACTGATTCCGAAAGGAATGACAATGTGCAACACAAATGAGAAAAGAACAAAGTAACAAATTGCATTTAATGCATAATTAATTGTGGATTTTAAGATTTATATTTAAGTAGTCTAATAATTGGAGCCAGTGGATATTTCAGACCATCTTTTAAGTTCTGTCTAAACTTACTCTGGGTCCCTGTGTAAATAAACGGATTGATGCAGGAGCTCAAAAACTGAAGCATGTAACCACTTTCCTCCAGAAAGAATGCTGATTCATCAGAAGTTGAACCTGAGAAATATGTAACTTTCGCAATCCTGACATAAATGATGTTTATAAAGTACAGCAAATACAAAAGAATGAAACTCCCCGAGATGGTAAATAGTAAAATAATAGACTTTCTCCGCCTTTCAATCTCTGGGTCACTATGATTCTCTCTATCGCTGTGCACCCGGATTCTCCTGCGGGCTCCATTGGCTGCTAGAATGTTTCTGATGGTGAGAGCATTAAGCAGAAAAATTAAAATTAACGGGAGCCAAGGAGTGAGAATTGCAAGAATCCAGTCAAATGCAGCCCACATAGGTAACGTGTAAAATATTAATTTCACACTACAGGAGTAGGGTGTATTGTTAATTTTAAACGAAGGCTCATAAATGAAGTACCAGGGTATATTTCTCACACAGCCCAGAACACAGACAGCTCCGATCACAAGGACTGCTGTTTTCTTGGCGCAATATTTGGTTCTAAGCTTCTGGCAACTGATGGCTACAAATCGATCAAAGGTGAATGCGACAGTTACACCGACAGAACAATCTCTGACTCCATATATGATCACAAAACTAAGACTACAAACTGGAGTGATGGACAACATAGTGAATGGGAAATAAATACCAACAATTCTGTTTAATATTACAGAGGTGATGATTACCAGGAGATCTGTCACCGCCATGGATATCAGGTAGTAAGTGATGCATCTGGAGAGGCCGCAGCTTCCTCGAGACAGAATCACAACTACTGCCAAGTTAGCTGTGTGACAGAAATGTAAATGTTACCTGAGCAATGAGCAAATAAGTGAACAGAAGGGAATATGGAAAACACCACCACGTATGGCAGCTGCTGTGGAAGGGAAAATAGGTTAACTTCTCCAGCCCTTTAGATTTATAAATCAGTAGATGAAGTCTCCCCAAAATGTGAAGACACCCCCTAACACTACATAACAGCAACCAAATTGACTCATGCATTTTACACTTCTGCTGCTGTCAGCTGGCAGCACAATTACATCTCAGACAAAGCCTGTGGGTTCAAGCGTTTGTACAGTTCTGAAAAAATGCCACACTACCTGAGCTGCCATGTTTAGGCTAAACCAATTAAGCAAACACTTTTGACATAAAAAATGCATATTTGTGCATTGTAACAGAATGCAGTCCGTACATAATACATGATCATGTGCTCTCTGACAAAAAGAAAAGCATAATTCAGTCACCTTTCAATAAAACAAATGAGCTACATTCACAGTAAGATAATTTACCCAAATTGACACAATCAAATCACAAAACATGATGACCTTGATTTTATAATGCACCCAAAGCAAGAATACCAGTAATGTAGATTAAAAATGGAATTGACGCACTATGACAGTAGAAGCACACACCAGAAAACAAAATTAAATAAATGGTAATCCATGGGTCAATGAAAAGCATTCTCCCATTAATTGAGTGAAATAATTGCGGTTATGAGAAGAAACTATGCTGAAAAAAGAGAGCGGTAGCACCATTAAAATTTGAAAATGCACTAGTGATGACAAAGATTTTTGTCCATAATTAAAAGAAATTATGCCATTAATACAGAATTAACATTGTTAATTACAAGGCATGATAACTTAAAGGGAAATAATTAGTATAGTAGAAATGAGGAGTTTGGACAATCGAATGGGGGAGGAAATCTCATGAAAAGGAATCAGATGATGTTAGTGTAATTGAAAAACATTACTGGCTAAGAAGAACATTATACACCTGAGCAACAACTTTGCAACTAATTATTAGTGAAAACACTTTACCAGGAACACCGATCACTGCAAGTATGGGATAGTAAATGGCAAAGACCAGGCCTTCTGGTGCTGCATGCATTTCTGTCAGAAGGTCAGACAGTGTACTCTAATACAGCGTGAGACTGTTTCATTTATGTTTAATGCCTGACCCCAGGGAGACAAATAGATGGTTTCATCTTCCACGTGAATTGCACTAATTAAACCAAACATTTCAATGATATTGCTACAAGTCTTGTGCTTATGCATTTATGAAACAAAACGTTTTCTCTAAGGCCGTGGCACAATTCCACAGTTGTATATTCAGTCACTAAATTAAGTTTCCATTCATTGTAATCATGATAACGGTGGGAAATTTATGAAGTGTTTTCAGTTGAGAAAATGATGATTATACAACAGTATTAGATTGTTAAGAGTACTAACTTAAGTTAGCATTTAGCATTCATATGCATCGACTCAAACTAACATCTACATTTATTGTTTACTTAAATGTGTCTCAATTATCTTTTATAATGCTATGTTATTAAGAGAACTATCTTACCAATGTAACATGTTAAAGAATGCCAAACATAGAGTGACCATGGAAAAATTCCATTTAGTTTTTCAATGGTTTGCTTGAATCAAAAGTATTGTCTATTTGAGGATACTGAAAAATCGCTTAAATGGAAATGAAATGCAGATGTCAATCCTGTTGCGATGAGAAATTATTCAGCGTAAATACATTGAAATGCAGTGAAATGTGCGTCGTGCATTGTTTGATGTTAGGAACAGCCGCATCAACTATTATTTGTTGGTGAAGGGAAGTACTTGCATACATAGGCTGAAGATTGTTTGAAAAAAGACAGGATAATCACACAACGTCCTGGAGAAAACAAACTCTACATTGATTCTTTAAGGGGAAAAAATCTAAAAGATGAACAAAGATGAGAAGAAACAAGGCAGTTGGTAATTAATTTGACAAAGATTGTGAATATCTAAAACTGTACAGGAAGAAACCTTTGTGTTATCCAGTCCGCTTGGAATACAGGGAACATACATGCTTAATTACACTAAAAATCATTTTTGGATTGTCTTGCGATAATTGATCTAATAAATGAATAAACTATGTGCAGAAGCATCTGATTGGCAGGAAGGTTTCCTCCTGTTTTGCTATGACTTGTAGTTTTTTTAAAAAATTTTTTTTCTTTATTCTGGTCTTTAACAAAATAAAACAGAAAGATGCTGCAAATCCTTGTTTATCTGTAGATTAAATGCCGATTGTATAATTGTACCTGAGGCTAACAGGCTCCTGTGAACTCCTCCGTCTGTTATTTTAATGCAGACTTTAAATAATTTGGTTCAAACCAGTCTACATTAAGCATCAGCTCCAGCCTTAAACTTTGTAATGGCTGTAATCAAATCCAGACTGGATATTTAAACCTGTTGTTTTACTTTCAGTAAGAAACAGATTACAGTTTGATTTGACAGCACATAGAATCCCTACATTGTGGAAACAGGCCCTTCAGCCCAACAAGTCCACATTGACACTCAGAGCATCCCAGCCAGACCCACACCCCACTGAATCTATACATCCCTCAATACTATGGGCAATTTAGCATAGCTAATCAACCTAACCTACACATCTTTGGACTGTCGGAGGAAACCAGAGCACCCAGACAAAACCCACACAGACACAGGGAGAATGAGACTCCACACAGACAGTCACCCAAGGGTGGAATTGAACCCAGGTCCCTGGCGCTGTGAGGCAGCAGTGCTAACCACTGAGCCAATGTTCAGAATTCACTCATAGTCTTCCTGACTCTAAAGGAGCTTCTGTTCTGTGTCTGAGTCAGAACCATTGAAAAGTGCAGCTGAGAAACATTTCTTACATACTTCAGGATTAACCCATATGGGGACTTTGCTGTTGGAGAAGAGAGATGAGAAAGATCCAAGTGCTATTTAACCCCTACAGTGTGATCCTGAAGGACTGTGTCCAGGCTAAAGTTCTGTTCCTGCCAATGATCCTTTCCAGATTATCCTTTCTGAGTTCCAGCAGGTGATGTTAAACACTCAGATGGGAAAAAAAAATCCACAAGTGTGTTTTAAGTAAAGCTGCATTATTAATCATGCATCTAAAATGTCAAGGATTGTTAAAAACAGCAAATGCAAAACCCAACTATGAGGACATTATTCAGTCCTGGACATGATTAACAGCAGAATCCAACCCCCTGCAGTCACTTGTGAACATGAGTGTCTCAGTCGGTGAGGTGAGGTCCCACAAACAAAGCAGGTGAACGGCTTCTCACCAGTGTCAATAGGTTCGTAGGATAGCAAGTCCACTTTGCTTTTAAAATTGTAAAGTTTTCTATCTAAATGAGCAAGTAGCTGTATAATGAGGTGGATGACTGATTTGTATCTTTTGTCACACGCAGAAAAGATGACAGTTCTTTCCCTGGTGAGAATTTGCTGGTGAATTACAGTGAGTTCATATGATCCTCTGAAGCCAGTCACGTAGTGAGAGCACCTGAATGGTTTCTTGTCAGTGTGAACACATTGATGGCAGCACAGCTCCACAGAACGTTCACACCACATCCTGCAATCAGACATTTAAAAGCTCTTCTGTCAATTAGCACTTGGTAGTGTGTTCACAGATTTCTGATCAATATGGGAATCGGATGTTACGGGGACAAGGAAGGAAAGTGGAGTTGAGGATTATCAGATCAGCCATGATCTCTTCTGATGGTGGAAGATTTGATGGGCAAAATGGCCTATTTCTGCTCCTAGATAACATGGTGTAGAGCTGGATGAACATAGCAGGCCAATCAGCATCAGAGGAGCTGGAAAGCTGATGTTTCGGGCCTAGACCTTTCTTCAGAAAATATTTCTGCTCCTATTGTCTGATGTCCTTTAGGCATCACCACAACCCAGGCCATGTCATTTCAGCACAACCAACCCATTTTCACCTACTTATAATCCCATTAGCAGCATTTTCTTTTCTCGCGGGCATACTATCATCTGTTCCTTCTACTGTCCAACTTTTGTTTACTCTGCCTATCACTCCCACTTTTTCTCTTCTTCATCTCCCCACCCCCACCCCATCGTCAGCTTATCCACCACTTTTCATTGGCCTCACTTCAGCCTTTTATTTTCTCTTTCCATTCCTTTTCTCACTTGTAATTGTCTAAGTTCCTTTTGAAAGTAACTCAGCTTATTGTTTGAAACACTTCTTATAGTGATGAGCTCCATTTCCTAACAACACTAAGGAAAGACATTTCTCCTCATTTCCCTGTTGGATTTATGAAGAACAATCTTGTGATCATGGCCCTTCATTTAGGATCTTGCCCTCAAGTAGAACCATTATCTCCAGGCCTACAAGGCCCACATGGTAGACTGAGCATAAAAATAAAGCTCACAAGATCCAAGCACAAGTTACAACTTCGCTTCAAAGTTGACTGGATGGCAGGAAGCAATGAATGATAGGCAATGGGTGTTTGTTTATGTGACAGGATGGTTGTTTCCAGTTAGGGTGCGCTGGGCTCAATCCTGGGTCCTTCATTCCAGAATAATATCCTTCTGCAGTTGAGATGTAGGGACCTGAATAAGAAATTTTCAGACGATACCAAAGATGGGCACGTGCTTGATATTAAGAATGAAAGCAGTACATCATAGAAGTTAACAATGGACTAGTCAGGACATGAGAAATAGGAGCAGGATTAGACCATGCGGCCCATCGATCGTGCTCCACCATCCAATAAATTTATGACTGAGCTCACTGTCTGACCCTTTTTGATGAAAAATCTGTTCCTCAGCCATGAATGTTTTCAATAGCCCAGCCTGCATTGCTCTCTCACCAAACACTCACGATCTTTTGAGCGAAGAAATTCATCTTTGCCTCTGTCTTAAACCAAAAACTCTGTTCTTAAACAGATTTTCCCTGTTCTCGATTCCCCCACAAGAGAAAACATCCTCTCAGCAGCTAACCTGTCAGGTCCCATCAGAATTTTATGAGACCAACACTCATTTTGCTAAACTCCAATAGATACACATCCAAATCTTTCCTCAAATAATAATCCTTTCATCCCAGGCATTGGCCTTCGGAACCTTTTTTTGAATGGTTCCCAATCCAAGTATAGCCCTTCTTAAGGAAGGAGGTTAGAACTGTTGTTTAGACTGTGACTGGATGAATGTTGCTGGTAACCAATTACATGAGAGCCCCATGACACCACCAGTGACACTGTGGAATTGTATTCAAAGATAGTAAGAACTGAAGATGCTGGAGTCAGAGATAACACAGTGTGGACCTGGAGGAACAGCTCAAAAATGAAGAAGGGTGCCAACCTGAAACGCCAGCTTTCCTGTTTCTCTAATGCTGCCTGGCCTGCTGTGTTCCTCCAGCTCCACTCTGCGTTATCTGTGGAATTGTATTGATTTGTTCACCAAAACAGCCACTTAATTCCGAACTGTATGACTATGCAGAATAAAGGAGAATTTCACCAGACTTTCTTCAAACAAAATTTCAAAATAATCTATTTATTACAAAACAAAACTGACTCTTAAAATTAGTTGCAAACTCTGGTTAACATCTGAGCTATTATCTGGAAACGAACTATATTCCCTTAAAGACAAACTCACACAACACAAAGGACACTGCAGAGGTTAATTTTTACACAGAACATGGGCCAAGGGTCTGCAACAAAAGGATAGAATTCATGAATCTTCATGATTCACTTCTTTTTGATGAAATTAAATTGCTGACAGCCATAGGATGGAAGATCTTCAGTTTGGACTAAAATGAAGCTGAATTAAATGTTTGGATAGTGGTAACAGTTCAGCTTTTCAGGGATTATAAAGCAGTAAGAAATGTTGATATTTGGAAACTTTATCTGATTCCTAATCACAGGAAGCTAATGCAACGTTATTACCAAATATTAGGACAACTAATGCATTGACAGTTATTACCAAGGCATGGGACTAGGGAATGT